CCCCCCCCCCCCCCCGTACAAACCAGTGCCTCTCCCCTGTTTCCACATCTCAGTAGCTGGTGACACCGTCCAGCCATTTGGTCAAGCTGCAAATGTGGCCACCGTCAGGACTGCTCACTCATCCTCATCCCCACATCTGAGGCATCGGCAAGGCTGTCGTTCCTGCCTCCCAGATATGCACACGTCTCAGTTCCGCCTGCCGCTCTCCAGACCCAAAACCACACAATCTTCTGAGCCACCCTCATGTCCCGCCTTTATTCTCCCACTGACCTCCTTACCTGTCTTATTTTCACTGCCGCCCCTGCTTCATACATTCTCCATGGAACAGCCAGAGTAAACTCAAGAAAGAAAATCCTGGAAGTTAAAATGGCTCTTGAATGATGGTAAGGATACTGGAAAAGTAATTATTCTACTGTTGAAATTGACAATTGCAAAAGTGTGTCCAAAACACTACCAATAAAACAATTGTTTAATTGCTTAGAAATGAACATGTTTATTTAAGATTTCAAGAGGCAAAGTATAACAGAAGAACCTGATGGGAATTATTCATCTTTTAAATTTATAGATTCTATAAATTTTATCCCCTTTGGTTTAAAGAAATTATTTCCATTACATTAGTTTAGGCTTTGAAATAGTAGCTATCATTTTAGAAATAACAATACTTACAAGCAGAATTTTAAAGTTCAAAGATTAACAATATCCTGGCAAATTATCACCAAAGTCTTTTGCACATAAATTATCAAAATAATGCTCCTGAAATTATGTATTCAAATAAAACTTGCTCAACTACTATTCATCCTTTGCTATGGTATACAAAGAAAATTAAAATCTTACAAAGGTTTCATATACCTAAGGACTTAAGTCAATTTACTTTTTAAAACAAATCAGCTACTCTCCTTAACCCTTCCTGTACTAGCTTGGAAATTTAAATGGCTTTTAACAATGTCAAGGACACATGGAGAAGCAATTCTCTGACCCTTGAAATTTTTCTTTTGAACTTGCGGAAGTTTCGCTATTAGCACAAAAGACACAGAGTCAGATGATCTTTTAAAAATGGAAAACAGATTGTTCTATCACGCGGCCTAAAACCTTCCCATTACATCTCAGATAAGATCCAGTGCATTTCCTACAAGGCTCTGCACAGCCTGGCCCCTTACCTTTCTCTCGGCTTTCTCTCTGCTCCTTTTCCTCTGACTCAACAAGCATCAGGGACAATGGCTTCCTCCAGGAAGTAAAAACTGAAAACAGCATACCACCATCCTAGCCCAGTCTCTGCTCCATTGATTAGTGATGGTGGTAGAGGGGCTGGAGATTTTTGGTTTTGCCTCAGGGCCTTTGCACAAGCTCTTCCCTCTGTTCTGAGACACTTTCCCTCCCACTTTATCTCATCTTTCAGGGTTTATCTCAAATACCCCTTCCTAGGAAAGCCCAGTAGGCAGTCTAGTAGCCTACAACACGGGCAGACTAGGCAAACAGCAAATCTCTTCTCGTTTAAGTAAATCAATAGCTTCAATTTGCTATCTGGTTGGTAAAGTAACACTTCCTTGCATTTGGTGTCTATTTGTCAATTGCTTGACGGACGCCGGATGCGCACCCAGGGAGCACTGGTCATTGGCAGGGAAGCTCTGTGGAGCCGGCCCACGTTCTTTCAGCTGCCGGGGGCTTGCAAGCATTAGGCTGGTCTTCCTAGGCTCTGCCTCCTCCCATCGACAGACGGCAGTCATGCCCCTTGTCTCGGGTCAGGTTCCCTAGAAGCTGAGACAGGGATGCCACCACAGGTGGTATATTGGGAGTGTGCCCTCAGGAGGAATCTGTAGGGAGGTGAGGGAAGCAGGAAAGGGAAGGGGAACAGCTGAGAAAAGATGCAGCTTTAGCTGAAGTCTAGCCTGAGCCTGATCCCACAGGTGCTCTGGGTCATGAATGGCATCTCAGAACTGTCCCTGTTTGAAGTGGGGGCCTGGGCTTTGTGTCCCTGTATCAGTCAGTCATTGGCAGAGGGCACCTCATCGGTGTGGGGGCTGTTAGCAGCCAACACTCAGCAGTCTGGTGCATCCTCCAGGTAAAAGAGACCTGGGTGGGGAGCCCAAAGCTCAGGATCAGCTTAGGGCAGAATTTCTCAGACTCAGTACTATTCACATTTGGGGCTAGATAATTCTCTGCTGTGGGGGGCTGTCCTGTGCATTTAGTATGCTTATCAGCATCTCTGGCCTCTACCCACTAGATGCCAGTGGCATACCACCAGTCCACCCCAGTCTCTAGGCATTGCCAAATGTCCCCTGGGATACAAAACTGCCCTCTTCCTGCCCCCACCCATCCCACTCTTCTGTGGTGTTCTGAGCCCATCCTTGGAGGGAGTCACAGCCGCTGCACTGCTTATTCACTGGGAGTATAGCGTCCTACATACACACATCCCATTTGTGTGTAAGTGTGTGTGGGCGCTTGTGTGTAGTAGGGAGACTAAGCTTCCCTGAATATGACTTGTTAAATTCAGACTAGATCGAGCCAGGATGAAAAGCAGGATCAATGGATCTGATCACTATTTATCAAATAGATGACCGAATGAAGGTGGGGGTTCAGGGAGAGGCTGGTGACCAAGTTTCTGGCTTTGGCAAATGCAAAGGGAAAAAGGGTGCAAGGAGAGGAAATCTGGAGGAGGGAAGGGCCAGTAAAATATGCACACACTGAGTTTGCTGGGGCTCCTCAATGGACACCTGTGGAAGGCACAGATACCCTTAGGGCTGGGTTGCTCAATCTAGGAGTCATCCAGCGAAGTCAAGGGCACAACTGCAGTTGTCTAGGAAGAAGGTACATGGTAAGAAAAGATGAGGACTGAGGTCAGAACCATAGGAACCTTCACATTTTGTGGGTATTGGGCATATGAGATGGTCCCAAAAGGAACAAAGGAGGTTCAGCCAGGGAGGCAGGAGGAAAGCCAGGGGAGAGTGAAGCCGTAGATCATGGAGACAGGTCGGAGAAACTATTGTTCTAAAATAAAAAGATACAGTCCCTTCTCCTGTCACTGGGCTCCACTCTGCAGCAAGGATGCTAAGGTTTCATGAATTATCTCTAGATCACAGTCAAGTAAAGGCAGCATGTAGGCAAAAATGTTTGCCCGTGTTTGTTTCATATTAGGCAGACCCATTTCAGAATAACAAAATATCTCAGTTTTAATGAACATATTTTATAAAGTAAATGGTATACATACCACACAGACTGCCTATATAGAAACCAAGGCTCCTCTATAAAGAGATTCCAGAGTCTTCAACACAGTGGAAGCAATAGTGATTTGGGAGTGGGACCTTTGTGTCTAAGCTCTTGCTACACACCCCTCCTGGTGAGTCCTTTGAATTTCCAGAATCTGGTCTGTTCGTTTTAAAAAATGAGTGCTTAGATGAAATGACTTCCTAGTACCCTTAGAATGCTAACATTCTAAGGTTCTACTCAAATCCACTAACATTTATTACATAAATATGTTAATGGAAATTCCATCTCATTGTGTGGGATGCATAAACCATACAGGATATCAAAATGACCTAGGAAGCCTGTTAAAGTATAGGCTCCCACACAGAGGATACTGTTGCTTAGAAGAATCCCACAGTACAACCCACAGAATGGGACAAAATATTTGCAAATCATGTGTCTGACAGGCAATTAGTATCCAGAATATATAAAGAACTTCTGCAACTAAACAATGACAAAAAATAAACAACCTGAAGGACTTGAATAGACATTTCTCCAAAGATATACAAACGGTCAATAAACATGTGAAAGGATGCTCAACATAACCAATCATTAGGGAAATGCAAATCAAAATGACCAGAAGATACCACCTCACACCCATTAGGATGGCTATTATAAAAAAATAGAAAATAACAAGTGTTGGCAAGGATGTGGATAAATCAGAACCCTGTGCACTATTGGTGGGAATGTAACATGGTGCAGCCACTATGGAAAACAGTATGGTGGTTCTTCAAACAACTAGAAATAGAATTACTATATGATCTAGCAATTCTACTTCTGGAATACATACATATATATACACACACACATATATATATATACACATAGTCTCCAAAAGAATTAGAAGAAAGGTCTTTACAACAGCCAAAATGTAGAAGCAACCCAAGGGTCCATCAATGGATAAATGGATAAAGAAAACATGGTATTCTTTATCCATTTATGGATATTGACCCTTATGAAGGAAGGAAATTCTGACACAATGCCATAATATGGATGAAACTTGGGGACATTATGCTTAGTGAAATAAACCAGCCACAAAAGGACAAATATTGTATGCTTTCACTTACGTAAGGTCCCTAGAGTAGTCAAATTCATAGAGATGGGAAGTGGAATGGTGGTTACCAGGGGCTGGAACAAAGCAGGAATAAGGATTGCTTAATGGGAATAGAGTTTCAGTTTTATAAGATGAACAGATGTCTGGAGGTTGATTGCAAAACAATGTGAATGTACTAAATACTACTGAACTGTACACTTAAAATGGTTTAAGTGATTAAAAAAAATAAAAGCCTATGATATTCATAGAGAAAAAAAGCTGTTTGACAAAAGTAACGGCCTTTGAATACAAATTGGCATATTTTCCTAAAGCCAGCTATATTCTTATAGTAATTATAGTAGCATATTATTTAAAATTGGGGGTGTTTTGTTTTATATTCTATTTGTTCTATAATCAATTTTAAAAGATGATGGCTAGATAAGCAATTTAGAAGGCAATATGGAGCCTTTGGGGTGGTATGTTAATTTGTAGAATCCTTTGCTGCCCTAAGAGGGGCATCTCTCCCGCAGGTGGTGTTTCCAGCCAACTCATGCCCATGCAGACTCTCCGGACATCTGCATGTTTCAGTATCGGGTTCACTCCTGGGTGTTTCCTGTATGAAGTTCCCAGTTGCAGATGAATAAGACTTCCTAAGAAAGTCTTCCTGGCACAGGCACAATCTTCCCACACCACCTCCACATCATGAGGGATTGTGGAGGGGCTGGTTCCTCAGGCAGAGCAGAGAACCTTCCAGAGAAACAGAACTTACCCATTTCTAGTTTCACTTCTGTATAATCTGACTTCATTGAAAGCAAAAGTCCCACACAGATTCATTTATTCAACAAATATTCATTGAACACCAGCTTTATGCAAGTCACCAGAAAATAACTATTGTATTGAGGTATAATTTACATACAGTGTAACTGACACTTTTCAGTGCACAGTTCTATGAGCTGACAAAAGTGTATCGTATAACCACCACCACCACTAAGTTATAGAATATTTCCATCATCCCAAAGTTCCCTTGCGCTTCTTTGCAGTCAAGCCCACCCCTCATCCCCAGCCCCTGCCAACCACTAATCTGATTTTGAGCCTTAAGTTCTGTCTTTTTCAAATGTCAAATGAAATCATTCACTTTGTAGCTGTTGTCTGGTTTCTTTCACTT